ACACACACACACACACACAATATATTGGTCTCTGTTAATCTCACTCAAAGAAGCTCATATAGAAGATCTGAAATCATCTTCATACTGTAACCCTTTTTAACATATAATAAAAGGTCAAAAAAACAAAGCAAGAAGCTATTACTCCTGGAACATAGGTCCTCTGATTACACGTCTCAAGTCTCAACGAGCCAACAATTTGGCCAAACTCCAAATCTATAAACTCTAAGCTGCACAAAACCTGAGTTTGAGATATACCACTGGTTTAATTCTTTTTTTTTTTCTTAAAGTTATCTGATTTCAAGAGGTAGAAGAAAATTTTGATGTTTACATATCCTCCAATGCACATATTGCACATGAGCGGATGTGTATCCAGAAAGAAAATGCAAGAACTTAAATATATCTGGTTCCTTAATATAGCAGATGCTGCAATCAGGAAAAGCTATTGTCGGTGCTGAGTGCTACCAGTTCCAAGAACTAAATTTATTGGGCATTTCCAGTTACTTTCATCAAAACTAAGTGATCTTCCATTTTCTTTAAATAACATTGGAAATAATAGTAAAACAAAGACTTTTCAACAACAGATAAGAATATATTTCCAGCAAAAGTACAGAAGAATTTTTAAGTAGGTTATATAATAAGAATAACTTTAGAAGCATATCGAGACAGTTGATAATCTATCTTAGCAAGCAATTGATCCAGAGGACAAGGCCATATGATGCAGAGAAGAAAGGATGAGAAGCATCATTATATACTGAAAACATACATAACACTGAGAAGAGCATAAAGGATCAGACTGGTGAATACTGCATCTTACAAAGAACTTCATGGGCTGTCAACCGCTTTTTGGGATCTCTCAGAAGCATTTTTCTGACTAGATCTTTTGCACTTTCTGATATAGTAGGCCAAGGTTCTGACACAAAGTCGAGTTCCCCTTTTAAAACCTGTTCAAATATTCCTTGCTCCGTCTCTGGTGCAAAACATCAAAATTCATAAGCCGCATGGTCTTCATGTTGCTTCAAGGATTATAAAATCAAATTGCAAAGGAGAAAGGTCAAAAAAAACTTACCGTCCCAAAATGGAGGAACACCACTAAGTAGTATATAAATAATGACTCCTGCACTCCAAATATCACACTCTTGACCATAATGCTTCCGCAACACTTCTGGTGCCACATAGTAAGGACTTCCAACGACATCACCAAAGGTTTCACCTGAGTGCACCATATTTGTATTCTTGATTAGGTGAAGGAATACAGCTCATAAAACAGCTAGAGGAAACCAGAAGAACAGCAACTGATTCTTATAATTTCATTTTATCTGTAATAACTAAAGTAAAACCAAAAGATAAGATTAAAATGAAAGTAATAATAGTAGCCTATTATATGAACAGTAAACACTCTGCCTTAATAAGCTTAATGTGAAAATAGGTATGAAAATAGCAGGTCATATTATTGTGTGGCTTCTGCTCTAAGAAAAGGCAATGTCAAGCAGACACCCTACAATTCTTAAGTTACGAAACAAGATAGAACAGCCCAAACTAACATACCGAAAATCAAGCAAGTAAATGCTAACAAAGAGCAATACCATTTTCTCCATTTTAGACTTTTTCACTACTTTCAAGGATGTCTTTATAAGTACATTCATGCTCTTTGCTACTATTAAATCAGGATTAGACTATTTGAAACTTAAAAGAATCATTAAGAACAGTGTATAGAACATGTTTAATGTTTATGTTATGGTGGAAAGTCTAGAAAATCATTAACAATATTGTTTAAGTATAATGATTCTTTTTAGAATATTTCTAATGAGTATTTCATAATAATTAATAATCCCAAGAATTAGAGAATTTTCCTCATATCGTGGAGCTCAAAACTCCTAAGATAGGAACTTTCAATATGTTGTTAATAACCAACTTCAAAAAGAGTTTTTTGCTCTCTTCTTTTCTTTTTTCGCATGGTATTAGAGTCTTTACAATTTTGGTAGAGACTTAAGTAGTATCTGCCTACAACAACTACACCTCAATCTCAAAACTCAAATTGCGGAGTGCCTTCCTACTAATGACCAGAATTATGCCATAAGGTTTTATTTTCTTGTCATAGTTATACTATTATTATCTTTTTGTGATGACGGTTCTGGTGGTACTACTTCTCTTTCTGATAATCCTTCTTGCAGCACCACACCTTTTTCCGATAATCCTTCCTGTAGCACTGTACCACTTTCTAATAATTATTCCAACAACACCATGCCTATTTTCGTTAATATTCTGGTGACACAACTCCTATTCTGACCAGCATTCCACCCATAATCTAGTCATCCTCTCAACAATAACTGTTCTGGATAACTGGACCGTGCCTCTTTTCGGTGGTATCGTGTCTTTAGCCAACGTCATTTGGCATCATCAAACAACTTCTCCAGTGAAACTCTTCAGCCACCAATTCGAACTATATCCTGGAGATTCGAGTCACAATTTGTCTTTCCATTGATTGAGGATAGATGTTTTCTGTGTGCAGTGAGAATTACTTTTTCTGCTGTGCAATTACCAGTTGCTTTCTGGCAAGAAAGATTTTCAGCAACACTTATTGTGACTCAAAGCTCCAATAAGAACCTCTCTTGTACGTTGTTAATAACCAATTTCAATAAAAGTCTTTTCAGAATTCTTTTCCCTTTCACAAGATCCATTGGGGAAGTTACTTTCCCACAATGAACAAAGTATAGAGATTTCTAAGATTGGTTTGTAAATTCTTTCAAAAACAACTCCTGCAGCTATTAGGGACACATGGATGGAACACCTATCAGGTGTGGTAATAAGAGTTTAATATTAGAAAGCCTTAAACCTAAATGTAACCCACTCTTGTGTAATAATTCAATCCCCTTCTGGTGTTACAAAGCAATCATAGGTTCATACATTGGAGAAAGAGCCAAGGCATAAGCAGTACTGGCGGCAGAAAGTTCACTGAACGCAAGAATTTAATAAGAAAACACTTTTTGCCTTGCAGAGTATCTTTAAGCATTTAAATTAGATTATAGACTCTCTAGTGAGTTACAGATAATTGACAGACTTGGGGGGCAATATTAATGCCAGTTTTAAGGAAATTGTGTTTTCAAGAGAATACCTGGCCTAAAGAACACTGATAACCCGAAGTCAATCGTCTTCAACGGTGACTCTTCTNCTATAATTTATTTTTTTACCTACCTACACAGTGTATTTTTTCCGCGAAAGGGTGTCAAATGACACCCCTTCCTATAAGGTGGCTCCGCCACTGGTGATATTAATGCCAGTATTTAGGAAATTGTGTTTTCAAGAGAATACCTGGCCTGAAGAACACTGATAACCCGAAGTCAATCGTCTTCAGGGGCGACTCCTCTTGCTGATCGACAAAAAGAAAGTTCTCAGGTTTGAGGTCCCTATGCATAACACCCAAGGAATGGCATGCTTCTACAACACCTACTATTACCCTTGCAAGTTCAGCTGCTTTCTTCTCTGAATAATGCCCCCTCTGTATAATCCTATCGAAAAGCTCTCCACCCACACAAAGCTCCATTACAACATGAACCGCAACAGCATCCTCGTAAGCCCCCACAATTTGTACAACACTAGGTTGTCCTGCCAAGTGATGCATTATCCGAATCTCCCTCCTTACATCCTCCACATCCTCCTCAGTATTCAACCTCCTCTTAGCTATGGACTTACATGCAAATTCCTTCCCACTCGACTTCTCTACACATAAAAATGTCGTCCCAAATTGCCCTTGTCCTAACTTCCTCCCTAAACTATAAATTTCCTTCAAATTACCCGTTTTTCGTCCTAAAACAGATTCAATCTCAAGCCCCAGACTCGATACTCTCTTAACATGACCGGGCTTGTTCTGTTTCACGCCCTCCACGGGCTTATTAGTAACATTATCATTAGCATCTGCATTCTTGTTGTTATTCCTAACCTCCTCTTTAACACTCATTTGTGTATTATCTCCATTTATCATAAGGTGTGGAGGTGGATTACTTTGAATACAAGATTTGTTATAATCAGAACCCTTTGCATCATTTGTATTTGATGAATCAACTGAATTCTCTTTTCTTTTATCCCCTTCATTTGGGAGTGGTAAATTTTCAGATTGATTAGGTTTCCAAACGGCTGCAGTAACAGATTGTAAGAACCCATTGTTAGCCAATTTGGGTCCTACACAATTATTCCCCATCCAAAAATATAAAAAAAATACCAAAACAAATACTGCTAGCTCAAATCAAAATCTCAACTTTTCCCAAATTCCAGTACCATCTAAACATGCCATTGCTGATTCATAAAAATTCAACAGAACCCTTAATGAAGCCCTAATTTTTTTATCCCAAAAATTAAATACTCCACTAAAATCAAAATCAACCGAACTACTCTTATGTTAAATCACTCGACACAAAAAACGTACCAAAAATCTGAATTTTCTGAAAATTTAAGAATTGAACAACAGATGTCTCAAATATCGAAGCTGGCAAATGAAAATGATATCTTAGGGATTTGGAAGAAATTGAGGAGAAATTAAATGAGAGGAAATTGTTGGAAATGGTGAGGAAATAGAAAGATGAAATGGATCGGATGGATAGATTTGGCAATCGGAATAATATTGATGATCAGTTCGTTAATTCTGTTGATGATTGGAGAAGTGTTTTGTCATGCATGAATTAGCATGCAATCACATTTTTCAACCTACCGCCACGTAAAGTTTTTTTATTTTTCCTTTTCACACAATTAAAAATAGAACAGAGAGACAATATAAGGGATCTTTTAGTTCGGAAACAAGTTATTATGCAGTAAGGATTCTTTATGTAGTAATAAATAATATGATTATTATGTGATGATGAACAATGAAAGAATTATTATGAGTTGATATATAATGAAGAAATTATTATTATTATTATTAAACAAGAAGTACTTACTTTAAAATCATTTTTGTCTTTCAATAGTCTAATATATTTTACTTTTTATACCAAATAAAATAATACATAATTCCCACATAACTTATACGAGTTTATTTATAAGAAAATGCAAGTTGAAACTAGACGATGGATAAGTCATTTTGAATCCAAACAAGGTATTGGTTATGGTGAATTTAATGAGAAATATGATGTTAGAGTAAATGCAAACTCGTGACACTATGGTAGGTACGGTCTAATATCCGGTGGCAGAGCCACATGCACTCAAGAATCAAGATCCAAGGGATGTCAACCGACATTCCTTCGTCGAAAAATTACACTGTAAATTTATTTTTTTATATTTTGGGCCCCTAATAAAAATTTTAGCCCCACGACTATTTATATCTATATATTTTGCAACGTGAAGTTAAAAATAATTCTTAGGATGTGAATGCTATCATTTTTAAGATGCAAGCTTCATAATAATATTTAACTCAAAGGTATTAGATACTAAATACATTCAAGCGTTTAATTGTGAATGTAGTAAATAAATTTCTAAAGAGATCACCTAGGAGTGACAAAATGGTTAAAAGAAAACAGTTAGGGAACTTTACATAACTATCACAGTTTAAAAGAAATATAACAAATTCTTAGCATGAAATCCAATATTACAGCCGTGACAGGAAAATATTTATATTTGTAGCACACAGTTCCATTAAAATAAGAATATTAATTATTAATCCCTAATCATAAGCAATTTGAATGGAAAGTCAATAATTCTAAGTACAAATATCATGCCTTTTTTTCTCTCTCTCTTTATCTATTAGCTTTCCTTCTTTTTCTTCATCTTCTTAATTTTGTTTTCTGCCGAAGCCAATATATTTTCTAAATTTGTTCCATTCGTTTTCTTTTTAATTATCTTTCTTAAGTTTTTCTTTCTTTATTTCTTCATTTCTTAACATAAAGATCTTACTTCGATAATAATATACGTTAATATATACAAAACATATATATCAAAAATATACATTGAATTAATACATATAAAATATACATAAAAAATATATCTTAAATTAAGATGACACTTAGACATGTGAAATATACATAAAAAAATATATCTTAAATTTAATTAAGATGACATATAAATATACAAAAAATATATATAAAAAATACATCCTGAATTAAAATGGCACTTGACATATAAAATATATTTGAAATGTACATTAAAAATACAACTTAAAATAAGATGGCACTATACAAATAAATATACAAAAATTATATACATTTTTGAATTAAAGTGATACTTGATATACAAAGTAAAAAAGACGTATAAATCAATACATCTTGAATTTAGGTGGCATTCACATATGCATCAGATTTTCAAAAATGAAATGAAGAAGATGAATGTTGGAAAAGGAGAATGGAGATGGACAAAAAAAGTACTTCCTGTGATTAGTGAGTCAGTTAACTTATTAAATGTTGAGCTTAATTTTAATAATATGCTAATAATGAAAAAAAAAAAGTACTCTTTATGGAATAAACAATAAATGATGCTATTCTTTTAAATAATAGTTAAAAAAGGATCAAGCGTGTAAAAAAACTCAAACAGGTAACCACCCATATTATCCACTAAAATATGGGTCAGATAATGAACTATTTAAAAAGGAAATTTTACCTCCTATAGCAAACCTTTAAACCTTATTTATTATAAATAAATACCTTTTTAAAAATTTATTTTCTATAGCTACCTTTTAGGTTTTATAGCAAATTATGTATTTATAGTCACTTCCTACTGTTAAGCCATTAAATACGCTGTGAAATATTTTTCTGTCTCCTACTTTCTTTTCTCTCTCTCCCAATAACACCGGTATTGTATGCAATTTTGCTAAAGCCACGATCTCTCTCCCAACCCAGTATCTTCCCCACGAATACAACCACCATTATCAACTGATTCATCTTCATTCTCTCTCTCAATTTTCAAAATTGATTGCTCAAAAAAGTTGTTGTAAGTGTTAAACTTGTTAGATTTTCGCTGGCACCTGTATTCTTCTGTATCTCTGTACTATATTTTTAGAAATAATCACCATTGTTATGCTTTTACAGAAAACTCAAAATTTCTTCTCCAATGGCTGATTCAACTCCTTACAAGAGGGTTATCCGAGGTATACCGACCAAAGCACTCAATTTCGAAGGGCTATCTTTCGATTTACAAATCACTCAAGAGGAACATGTATTTGCAGGTTCAGCAGTAAATACAGTTGCGGAAAAGAGAACAAAAATATGCAATGACACATCGAAACAAGCCCAATTTGAGAAATTTCCGAAAGAATCAACACTTCATGATGCGAAAAAGAGAAGAAAACTTATGGATGACGATTCAGGGGTTAAGAGAAAAGAGGTCGATATAGGAATTAGCTCGGAAATACTGAGCGAAAAGGTAATTGTAGATGTATTTATATATATTTTAGTCCTCATACATTGATTATTACCATATACACTATTTTTTTATTCTTTGTATTTTAATGTATTTATATGTATTCAATAGTGCCAACACTGATAAATATTTATTACAGTGACTTTCACAGTTGTATTTAGATGTATTTAGATGTATGTTGTTCTAGCTTTAGTGATATATTCCAACTAAGTGTTCTCATCATCATTCTCAAGCCAACTGTATTCTGTTGTATTTAGAACAACAGTCATTGTCATATCTCTCATTTTTTGTGGTAATTATCAATACATTATATTTGTAAATCATGAATGTGTTATGTATACCAAATATATGTATTCATATGTATTTTCAATCATTTATTTTATCTTTTTAATTTTTGTTGTATGCAGGAAATAAAACTCTTTGTTAAACACCCGCATGTTGTATCACCACATATCAGTTCCTTCACTAACACAAATATAGTCTCCGACCTCAAAGAGAAGCTTACACCAGAGCAGTACAAATTATTTTGTAATACTTATTTTGGAAGTTTCATCGAAATGAAGCACTGCGAGGTTCAACATCAATTGTTCAGGTGCTTCATGGTTCTGCATCTGGAAGAAAGCCATGATGATTCATTTTCAATATATATGAATGGTACAAAATTATGCTTCTCAATCAGGGAGTTTGCGGTAGTCACTGGTCTCAATTGTGTTAGTGACGTTGAAGATTTTCGGTTTAACACAAAGAAGCCTAATAGGATTGTGGATCCATACTTTGGCGATGCAAAGAATGTCAAGAAGAAAGATTTGGTGAAGTGATTTGATGACAAGAATTGGGGTTATGATAACGATGGGGATGGTATTAATATAGCTTTGTTGTATTTCATTCATACTTTCATATTATCCTCTGAGAAGAACTGCTCAACCATTCCAAGACTACATTTTGACTTGGTCGAGAGCGGGAGATATTCTGATTATCCATGGGGTAAGGATGCATTCCAGGCCCTTATCAGATCTATTAGCAAGAAGATGGATTCTTAGAAAAAGTACTACAGGATAGCTGGGATACCTCTTGCTATGCAAGTATGGTTTTATGAGTGCTGTTCAAAGGTTGACCCCAAAATTGCACTCCGAGTTGATAACCGAATGCCCAAAATACTCAATTAAAAATCTACAGTCAACCAGCCAACTTATGCTTACTTGATGAACAACATGTTCAATGATCAAGGAAATCTGATAAGTTACTATTATTTAATTGTATGTTATTTTAGTAAACATATATTTCTGTTAGTAATTTTTTTTTAATTTTTAATCAAATACATTTGCATACATCATTCATCAATGCCCATGTTTTCATAACTAAATCGAATACAAAAGAATACATAATACAATGTTGAAACTAAAAATTATATACAGTTGCATTCATAATACATCTATGTCCCTGTTTTCATAAGCAAGCCGAATACAGTTGAATACATGACACAATATTGAAATTAAAAATTAAATACAGTTGCATACATCATACAACTGTATCACAATTTTTCTGTTTTACTGGAATACATTAGAATATATAATACAACTCACATTGAGTGTGTTCCTGTTTTTAGATGAAATACAACAACATTCAACCTAGCGCTACAAAGCTTGTTGTTATTCAGGTTCCTCCGGATGGTGTTGATGTAGAGAAAAGTCTTATTCCTTCAGACAACAATGATAATGATTCTGATGACTTTCGTCCAACACCGCCTCTTCAACCTAAGAAAAAACTTGATGCAAGCGTTGGTCCATCTTTATCACCGCCCCACAAAAAGCGCAAACATCAGTTAAGTGACCCCTCAACTGCAGATAGTCCAATCCCACATGTGCCTGCAATACCTCAAACAAAGTTTTCTCCTACTGATAAGATTGAATTCAAGGAAACTGTATTGAGTTCTAAGAAGCCGGCAGATTCTAAATCTGATGATTTGTATGCTTTGAGGCAGGATCTAAATTCATTCAAGGATTATGTAAGTATTGTTAAAACATATTAAATTTTACCGTTCATGTATTAACTTTCATATATTTTTCTAACCCATCTATAATTATTTTTGTATTCATTAGGTGATGGGTGAGTTTACTTCTCTACGAACATTGATCAACGAAAATTTCAAAAAGCTCTTTGAAAATGCAAAAGCCAATCAGAATACAGAAATGGTTTACCAAAGGAAAAAATATACTAGGAGACATGATGGTGGTATTCAAATGTCAACCGAGGCCAACTTGCATAATAATTCCAAATGCCAAACACAACATGATATACCTATTGGGGAGAATTCTGAGGTTAATATTTTTTAACCTCTTTAGTATATATATGCAAGTCTGTATATGTTTTGTGTAAAT